CCCCCCCCCCCCCCCCCCCCCAACCTAGACTTCAGACGGTCACACAAATCTAAAGATCCCAACCTATATCACAAGTACAATTATCTACGGCTACTAAGCTACTATCTTAAAATAAAACTCTGACACTGACCCCGAGCCAAGGCTAATAACATACATAGATCATTATATGTATGTTTTAAACAATATAACGTCAAATAAATACATAACATCAAATACGCAATGTCCCTTTTTTCGCTTAAACCTTCCGCATTTTACCGTAACATCAATAAATAGGTCTTACGATATTGCACGTTTTTGGTCGATGAAATTACTCGAAATGTTGAGGGCATCACTTTAAAACACGTATAGTACCCTGTCAGATATTGTTGCGTCATACAATTTTCAGAAATAAATGGCATAACTAATTTTATTTAAAATTATGCATTTGAATAGAAATTTGTTCGAGACATTATTTTCAAATCACGAACCTTTCAATAAATTTAAACCTTATTGATAACGAAGTTAATTTTATCATGACAGCTGCTGTAACACTGAGCGGGTGGTCTGAGTACGCTGTCCCCGGGAGTGAGTTTACACTGACGTGTGACGTACCAGAGGAGGCAAATGACGTTACATTTTACCGCCGTCCTGACTTGTCCACTACAGTAGGTGTGATACAAGTAGGTGGTGACCAATGTTACGACGTCAAAGCTACCCCGCCGGTCCTCTGTACACCGGATGTCTGTTCCTGTGTTACCACGTCGACTGGAGGACGTGGTACAGTGTTCCGGTGGGTCATACAGCCACGGACGGGAGATCACGGATCTGTGTGGTTCTGTAGACGTACCAACTTTAACCTGTATTACACATCACAGGACAGTCCAGACTACACCCTTAATGTAGCAGGTAAGCATTTGTATATTCAATTGCATCCTTTGGTCCTTCGGATTTTAGCCTTTCATCGAATGCATTCGTTTAAGAATGATATCAATACAGTGTATACAGCTGATTTTGATGATGCTTACATTTCACAAGCAAAATAAATTAATTTTGTATATATTAACTTCATTGTCTATAATCAAGATATCCGATATTGCATGGAATCAATCAACATTCTACGTTCCGATACTGCAGCTGTGAATAACATGAAACTTTGGGCAATATTACAAAAAAAAAGTTGATATGTCAGAAATCGAATCCAAAACTCTCCAGTAAATTATGTATTTTACAATATAACTCTTCAGAAGACTTACGATTGTCGTATCTATGAAAAACTCTACTGAAAATGAAATGAGTTGAAGTGAGATAAGTGTCGCCTTTTGCATGTGACATCTTAAATAAGCCAAATACTAATTTACACTGCACTAGGTTCTATGTACATGCTGATCATAGAATAAAACGTTACTTGCCTTTTCATGGAACTTTTAAGTGGATAAAGAATGTTAGATATTTTACGGGTCTTTAATGCTAGATGTGACACAAGAGGAATATAGCACGCCTAATAGCTGATATTTCCATCATAATATAAATAATACATTCATTAGAGTGTGACAGTGCATTGGGTCACCCCTCACATATCACTGTCAGTGAACTCGGGGTAACCCTAGGCACTGTCACATTCCAATGCATTTATTTGATTATACCGAAAGTCTATAATTGACAGTTTATAACAAATACACGTTTTGTATTTTCATCAACAAATGTAACAGTGAACTATTCAAGCTTCAACAGAAAGGTTAGTGTTATAAAAACTGCAAATGTCATGACAATTATAACAATATAATTTTTGAATTTGACGATCGGGTTACCGAACTTCTTCATATTGTCATCATCGGTGATGGTGTCCTTGTGTTTCACGTATATAAGGGTTTTGACTCATGACGGCTGAACCGTACGCTCATCTTTGCGCGGTTACTTTTTTGCACTGTCACACACACTGTCAAACAACAACGTCGCCCGTTGCTAGGGCATTGGGAAGCACCCTTCCATGGACTCAATTTTAAAGCGAACGTGACAGTGTGAAATGAATAAATTGTCTCGGCCTATCAGATTACAGGAAGTTAAATAGAGGTAATATAATAGTATATATGCGACACCATATATATCATATGTGACGTATAATGACGTAAGCGGGGATACTCTTCTTTCTCTCTATCATTGAATTAGCGTGTTTTTTTTAAATACAGGCGTATTTTGACGGCATCGAGCCTACGACACCTCCGACATGTTTTATGGGTAACAAACCATAAGACATCTTAGACCAATTTAATAAACAGACATCGGTTGCATTAAACAAATGCTGTTGACATGTCTGGTGTGTTTGAAGCGTTATTTTGTAGAAAAAAACGGTGTATTAAGTGCAGCCCTTTATATTTCATGTCGACAACGATTGCATCGCAACTGACATTATGGAATATGACGCTACCGCCATAGTTTAGGTCAAGTTCAAGGATGAATCATTTCACAAAACGTTCTGTAACGGCTGGACTGCATGTCATCCGTTCGTTTTAATTTATGTTTTGTTTAATTTTCATACATTATATTATTATTCTCACTAAATACTCTTAAATGGATTTTTTTTATTTTGATACGTAACTCTTATGTCTAGCCAGACACACGAGTTATTTTCGCCACAGTGCTAAATTAATTATTTTTAAATAACATAATCTGAAAGGAAGGATAAGAATACAATGTACTCAGTGGAAACAAAAACCGGTGAAAGATATAAAGGTTGTACATAGAAATTTGATTTTAAACACACAAAGTATCTAAGCAAACTAATTTACATGTGTGCGTTTTATCATACAACGTGGTGATCGATTGTTAAATAGCAGAGTTTTGAACACTTTGTCCGCAAAGCCAAAGTCGATGGAGTGCCAGCGCCCAATTAAAGGTTAACATAAATGAATAACAATGCATCTTCTAAGAGCTGTAGTGACAGATTTGCTAAATGAAAAAAGGACTTGAACGTGAGGAGTTAATAGAAAGTTAAACGCCTTCATTACCTTTTTAAAGAATTATGAACTACAACCTTTCTTCTGATACATGCGGTTCATTCTGAAGCTAGTATTATTATGTATCTATATTTTATCGGTATTTGGTTAATGTGATACATGTATACATCGACATGGTTTTAAACACATAGTGATTTCAGCGGTGTATTTGTATGCTAATGAATGATATTGAAAGTGAGCAGTTTAAGTCAAAGCTCAATGTTCATGCAGTTATGACAGATGCTGTGACACTGACCGGGTCGTCTGAGTACGCTGTCCCCGGGAGTGACTTTACTCTGACGTGTGACGTACCAGAGGAGGCCAATGCTGTTACATTTTACCGCCGTCCTAACGTGTCTACTCCAGTAGGTAGTATACAAGTAGGTGGTAGTCAATGTTACAACATCAACGTCAACACGCCCGTCCTCTGTACACCGGATGTCTGTTCCTGTGTTACCACGTCGACGGGAGGACGTGGTACAGTGTTCCGGTGGGTCATACAGACACAGACGGGAGATCATGGATCTGTGTGGTTCTGTGAACGTAACAACTTAACCCTGCCTGACCAAGTACTGGACAGTCCGGACTACACACTCAAAACAGCAAGTGAGATATTTTGTATTCAATGCATATCTTTGTTTGAATTTGACTCTCAATCATGGCATTACCAGCGTGGTTAATATATAAAGGTATGATATTACAATACGACGTCCGTCAACTTTTCTTTTAAAACGCAACTTGTCCTGAACGGCCAAATAGATTTTGGTCTGGAGCATCCTTGGGCCAATGGAACTTATTTTTGAATTTATGGTGGATGTGGCTCCCATGGGGGCAGAGAGGCTGGGCCCGATAGGGGAAAAAGAGGTAAAACCTTTAAAAGCCTTCTCCTTCCATAGGAATTAAGGGATTTTATCCGAATTTAGTCTGGCGCATCCTTGAGCCAATGGGACTTAATTTTGTATAAGCAGTGGGTGTGGTCTCCCTAGGGGCAGAACGGTGGGGCCCAATAGGTGAAACATAACAAATTCTTCAAAAAACTTCTTTTTCTGTATGACAGGATTTTGTCAAAATTTGGTATGAAGCATCCTTGGGTGAAGGGGAACCAATTTTGTTAAAAAAGGTGTGTCCGAATCCCATGGGGGAAGAAAGGCGGGGCCCCATAAAGGGTATAGAGGAAAAGCTTTAGGTGTTTTGAATAACTTTTGTGTAAATGGTGGGTCTGACCCCGCTGGGGCCTGATAGTTCGGGTCCAATAGTGGTAATATAGCAAATTCTTGAAAAGTCTTCATCTGTAGGAATGACAGGATTTTGTCCATAGTTGGTCTAAAGCAACCTGTGAAGGGGACTTAGTTTTTTATAAACGGTGGGTCTGTCCCCCCAGGGGTTAGAGGGGCGGGGCCCACTAGGGAAAACATAGTAAATTCTTCAAAAGCCTTCTTCTTCTTCTGTAGGAATGACATTATTTTGTCCAAATTTAGAATGAAACACTCTTGGGTGAAGGGAACCACTTTTGTATAAACGATGGGTCTGACCCTCCTTGTGGCAGTGAGCCGGGGCCCAATAAGGAATATAGAGGAATAGCTTTGTTATCCTTCTTCTTCCGTTGGGATGAAAGTATTTTGACCAAATTTGAACAGTAGCATCATATGGGAAAGGGAAATCAATTGTGTATATTTTTTTGGTTTAAACCCACCGGAGGCAGAGGGGCAGGGTAAAATAGGGAAAGTAGAAAAATTGATTTAAAATCTTAAATTGATTTATAAATATCTTTAATACATGTGAAGCCTACCATCGTTATCTCACATCCGTTTACTAAGCGTAAAATTGTTTAGGCTATGTACATGTACCTAATGCCTTTTATCTATCGGATAGTTCTTTCGATGAATATTACAATCGTCAACATATTTTGTTATGTGATTATATTAAAGACGGTCCTGGTTCGTCTGCTACTGTTTCCCTACCGGACACTATCTACAACAGGACTGAAGGGGACACGTTTCAAGACATTACCTGTACAGCTGACTGTAGACCTGGCTGTACCTTTGTCTGGACAAAACCTGACAACACCAACTTTACTGCCTCAGCTGTGTTGTCACTGGGACAACGGGACAGGTCAGAACACGGGACGTACAGATGTACGGCTAGGAATGGTGTCGGGGAGTCAACTACAACCATCAATCTTGCTGTGATGTGTAAGTTTATATTTTGTATAATATTTAGTGAGGCACTCAGGTAATGTTTGAAAAAAAATTGACAGTTTTTTTATTGACAAAGAACTTTATTAACCAATCGAAGTATTGTGCTGGTCACAATCAATATTTAACAGTGGATAGGATAGAATTTAATTAGAGACAGTCGAAAAAAGGTAGGGAAATCGACATACAAATGTATTTATGTACCATCACTACCTGTTTATCTTATATCTATCAATAGCTATATATATATAGTTATTGCATGAAGTTGATGACCATGTTGACAAATTCATAACATTTATATTGGTTTTATCATACTTTGGTTGTTCTGTGTGACATCTGCATGTCGACAAACCCATTTGGACCTACTTTTTAGTTCAGCTTCATGTTGTAGCTTATAGTCTTTAGGTCTTTAACAATGATTAATTATGGACTTTTATTACATACTTAATAATAAATACGGGTTTTTTGTATATGCGATACGACACAATTGTTCTTACCCATATCAGCCCTCGCCGTATCACACCCCAAAAGCCGTATCAGCCCCCGCCGTATCACACCCCAAAACCCGTATCATCCCGCAAAACTCTTATCACACCCCTTTTGGATTTTTTTTCGTTTTTCAATATTTCAAAAGAAAATATTATCATAAGATAGTAGCTTTTATTAGTAAGTATGTAATAAACAGAATAAAACATGACTTTTTCCATATCACACCCAGTAGCAACCCGAGACTGCAATATCAGCCCAAGGGTTGATACTGGGTGTGATATGGAAAAAAAGTCATGTATTATTCTCTATTTGTTGTGAACATGTGGCTGTATTTACCTGAGAAAGTGATATCAATTGAGACAAAGACAACCTTATTTTCAGGTTCATAAAAATAGCAACAAATTAACTATAAAGTCCTTAAAGGCCAAGGGTGGGGTATAAAAGGGAGACAACTTGGGAAAATGAAGGAAATACAAAAATGTGCGTGCCTTCACTTCAGAGAATAAATTTCTTCAAATTCATGTTTTTCCAAAGACGTGATGACAGATGCTCGACACGCGAAAAAATGTAAAAGACTCTAGTGTAGTTGCCATAGGATATGAAACTCACAAAGTTCTGGATCACATACATGTAACAACAAAGGATGACCCAGTATCCCAAAGGCATGCCCATGTTGAGACAAATAAATTTTATGAAAGAATGACAGAAAGGACATTACAATCAATGTGCACACACATGACAGGAATCTGTCCATAAATAAACTCGTGAGAGATGCTGGCACTATCAACCAAAACGACCGATGACATTCAACCAAGGCATTGAAAAGGGTTTGAAGGCAGTGTCGTCCGGTCCAGCATACAAAAAGGGAAAAATCTGGTCCCATTTACTTAAAGATAAAATTGAACCCGTAACAACCCTTGTCCACTGGTGTCTGCATAACAGTGAAGGAAACCCATCCACATTGAAAAGCAGTTTGACAAATGTTGTAGCACATTTCCAGAACGACCATTCGGGATGCCATCATTCCAGCAGGTACAAAAGGATAAAAAAATAAGAACCTTCTAGACAGGTCATTGATGACGTTGCAGCTAAAATGTTGCTTGGAGTTATAAGAAGTACAGCTATTTACAAATATCTCCAGGATTACATTTTAGTTAGGGACCCTTTCTATGTGGAAAGTTTCAATAATGTAACATATTTCAAGATAAGAGGATATAATTTAGTGACGATCAGTATCTTGTGAGATCACAGTTGGCTGTACCGCACTGGAACGACAAAGTGGATAGGAAATATACTTCTGTTTCAAAACCCCGTGTACCAAATGCTTGGAGGTCATTTAGAGGGGAAAGGTGTACAAGGAACCAATCTACTATTACAGAACTAATATTTGGAAAAGCTTTGTAGAATCATTATATCATTACTGAGTACATTCAATCAACTATATTTTATACCTGTAGATTATTTACTTATTTGCTTACATTGAACATTATATGAACAATGACACTGACATATTGGACCTTTGATTTAAGACATCAAAGCTTGATTTGCAGATGTGCAAAAGATTAGCAAATTGATTTAACGTTTGCAGTTGGTTACAGACTCTGATTTGTTTACATCCCCCATTTATTAGGGTGTGTGGTATGTTTGTGGCCCTAGCAACCCATGTTTTAGATAACCCCCGCCTTCCTCTTCCCTCTCCCTAATTGATGTTCGGTGTAATTTTAAATTAGGTCGTCCTGGGCCTTTAATTGTTATATAAGAAGCTATATTTTTTCAACAATTATTTCGCTTTTTTTCCCATTATGGAATCAGGTTTCGCAAGGGTTGGGACCATAGGAGCAATACCCTTGACAGTATATGTCCCCTCATCGTAAAAGTTTTAAGTGGGGTGCACTCTTTTAACACAATATGTACAACAAATATGTGCTTCTCCTTCATCGATGTTTTCATTCATCCGTTCACAATTATTTTCAATTTCCATACAAACAATTACTCCGCACATAACACTATCAAATATATAACACAATAATATTTTTCAAATAAGTGCACCGATATAAGATATGACAGATGTTGGTGTTCGTTGATATTTCTCACGTATTTATCCTTCAAGCAATAACAAACCCCCAAGCTACATACACTGGCTGCATATTTAGACTTATCGCATGCTTACTTTCTTTTTCATTGAATGCATAATTTTGTGCATATTCATCCATGTAAGATGACCCATTTGCCGTCATAAAATGCTTCCATGTTCTTCAACGTTATATAATGGCGTCACAATGAAGACTTCAATAGTCAGAGATCCAAATTGGCGGAAGGTAGGCTTGTCAAATCACATTGAAAATGTGATATGTATTATATGCAAAAACTGGCAAGATATATTGAAATGATTTCAATTCGTTTCAATTTTATTCGCCATTAATAAGACGGTTTTCCATTGTAGTCTGCCAGAGACACGTTAACAAAAAGTGACTTAAGTCGAACAATGAATGGAAACGCTCTGATATTATTTGAAGCAAAACTATTAATAATCATACATTTCTTTTCGTGTACTGGGTCATTGCTCATTGAACATTGTGCAGTCAGTGTACATTATCTGAATACTAAAGTTGAGAATCGAAATAGATGCATTTATTAAAGAGTAAAACAAACATTGGTTAAAAGCATGTAAAATAATAAAGCAATGATGTCGGTCAATATAATATAGGCGATCATGAATACTCAAGATCTGGTAAATAATCCACTACTGGACGGTTTAGTATCCTAGGGGTTGTCATCAAGGATATTAAAGCACACTTTTTCGTATCAATTCTATTCAAAGCTTCTTTTTTTAACAGCACCTGTGTTTGTTCATGTAGACCATTTTAGTTTTCAACATTTCCAAATATGGAACTGAAAACTGTAAGGCCTTAAGTATTCCTATAACTGACTAGAATTACAGAAGTTCCTTCACTGCACAAGGTGCATTGATCGAATGAACTACAAAACCTGTATGTGGGGTCTATGTGGTATGATATACTGATCACGATCAATTGCATTGAATGTATAGTAATCGTTTGGCAGAACACATTGGAGAAAAACAGATTTATATATACCCGAGGGAAAAAAAGAAACGGAGGGTAAGAACATGCATTTTATAGCCAATAAATTCCAGTTCAACACTTAAACTCGCCCAGACGACCATCCTGGTCAGTGTAAAAGTACATAAGGTGACAAAATCAGTACTAGTACATTTGCACATAGGGTAAAAAGCAGTAATACTAGTACATAGAGTGACACCTGTAATACTGGTACATATGGAGACAACAGTAATATTAGTACATAGGTTGACACCAGTAATACTGGTACATAGGGTGAAAAGAGTAATACTAGTACATATGATGACAACAGTCATACTCGTGCATAGGGTGACAATAGTAAATACAAGTACAATATGGTTACAAAAGTAATACTAGTGCATATGGTGACAACAGTAAATACTCGTACAATAGGGTGACAACAGTAATACTGGCACATAGGGTGACACCAGTAATATTAGTACATAGGGTGACACCAGTAATACTGGTACATAGTGTGGCATTAGTAATATTGGTACATAGAGTGAAACCAGTAATTATAATACATATGGTGACAAAAGTAATACTGGTACATGAGATCACTTCAGTAATCCTTTTAAATAAGGTGACACCAGTAATTATAATACATAGGATGACATCAGTTATACTGGAACATAGGATGATATCAGTAATCCTGGTACATAGTGCGACACCAGTACTACTGGCACATAAAGTGACACCTGTAATACTGGTACATAGTGTGACACCAGTACTACTGGCACTTAAAGTGACACCTGTAATACTGGTACATAGTGTGACACCAGTACTACTGGCAGATATGGTGACACCAGTAATACTGGTACATATAATGACATCAGTGATACTAGTACGTAGGGTGACAAAAGTAATACTGGTACATAATGTTACACCAGTAATTCTGGTACATAGAGTGACACCTGTAATACTAGTACATAGAGTGACAACAGTAATACTGGAACATAGGGTGAAACCAGTAATACTAGTACGTAGGGTGAAACCAGTAATACTGGTACGTAGGGTGACACCAGTAATATATAGCGACAGTAATACTAGTACATAGGGAGGCAATAATAATACTTTTACATAGGTGACAACAGTAATACTGGTATATAGGGCGACAATAATAGTATTAGTGCATAGCGTTATACCAGTAATGGTAGTACATTGGTTGACACCATAAATAATAGTGCATATGATGACAACAGTAACATTAGTAGATAGTGTGACACCAGGATTAGTAGTGCATATGGTGAAACCAGTATTACTGCTACATGGGGTGACACAAGTATTACGGTTAGATAATGTGACATTAGTAATACTGGTGCAAATGGTGATAACAGTAATATAAGTACATAACGTGACACCAGTTATACTGCTACATAGGGTGACACCAGTAATACTAGAACATAGGGTGACACCAGTAATACTGGTACATAGGGTAACACCAGTAATACTAGCACATAGTGTTACAACAGTAATACTGGTACATAGGGTAACATCAGTAATACTGATACATAGGGTGACAACAGTAAAACTGGCACCTAGGGTTACAACAATAATACTAATACATAGGGTAACACCAATAATCCTGGTACATAGGGCGACAATTGTAATACTGGTGCACATGGTGACGCCAGTTATTCTGGTACATAGGGTGACACTTGTAATACTGGTACATAGTGTGACAACAGTACTATTGGTACATTAGTTGACACTTGCTCGCAATACTGGTACATAGGCTGACAACAGTTATACTAATACATAGGATTACTGTGTAAACCAGTATTACTGCTACATGGGGTGACACAAGTATTACGGTTAGATAATGTGACATTAGTAATACTGGTGCAAATGGTGATAACAGTAATATAAGTACATAACGTGACACCAGTTATCATGTATGGTGACAAAAGTAATACTGATACATCAGATGACTTCAGTAATCCTGGTAAATAAGGTGACACCAGTAATTATAATACATAGGATGACACCAGTTATACTGAAACATAGGATGAGATCAGTAATCCTGGTACAAAGCTTGACACCAGTAATACTGGTACATATAATGACACCAGTCATACTAGTACATAGGGTGACAACAGTAATACTGGTACATAGTGTTACACCAGTAATTCTGGTACATATAGTGACACCTGTAATACTAGTACATAGGGTGACACCAGTAATACTAGCACATAGGGTTACAACAGTAATACTGGTACATAGGGTAACACCAGTAATACTGATACATAGGGTGACAACAGTAAAACTGGCACATAAGGTTACAACAATAATACTAGTACATAGGGTAATACCAATAATCCTGGTACATAGGGCGACAATTGTAATACTGGTGCACATGGTGACGCCAGTTATTCTGGTACATAGGGTGACACTTGTAATACTGGTACATAGTGTGACAACAGTACTATTGGTACATTAGTTGACACTTGCTCGCAATACTGGTACATAGGCTGACAACAGTAATACTAGTACATATGATGGCAACAGTAATACTGGTACAAAGAGTTACGCCAGTTATTCTGGTACATAGGGTGACAATAGTAATACTGGGACACAGGGTGACGTCATTTATTATTGTAAATAGGGTGACAATAGTAATACTGGTACACATGGGACGCCAGTTATTCTGGTTCATAGGGTGACACTTGTAATACAAGTACATACGGCGACAACAGTAATACTCTTACATAGAGTGACAACAGTAATACTGGTGCATAGGGTGACAACTGTAATGCAGGGGCATTAGGTGACAACAGTAATACTGGTACATAGGGTGAGAACAATAAAACCGATACATACGTTGACAACATTATTACTGGTGCATAGAGTGACAGCAGTAATACTGGTGCATAGGGTGACAACTGTAATGCAGGGACATTAGGTGACAACAGTAGTACTGGTACATAGGGTGACAACAATAAAACCGATACAGACGTTGCCAACATTATTACTGGTGCATAGAGTGACAACAGTAATACTGGTACATAGATTGCTAACGGTAGGACTAGTACATTAGGTGCCAACAGTAATACAGGTACATAGGGCGACAACATTTCTACTGGTTTGTAGGGTGACACCAGTAATACTGATACATTGGTTGACAGCATTAATAATATAACATAGAATAAGGGTGACACCAGTAATACTAGTACATGGGGTGGCACCAGTAATACTGGTAGATCATGTGACAATAGTAATACTGGTACATAGGGTGACACTAGTAATACGAGTACATATGGTGACAACAGTAATCTTTATACATCGAGTTACAACAGTAACACTGGGGCATAAGGTGACATCAGTAATACTGGTACATAGGGTGGCAACAGTAAATTCACGTCCAATAGGGTGAAAACAGTAATACTGGTAAACATGGTGACGCAAGTTATTCTGGTACATAGGGTGACAATAGTAATACAGGTACACAGGGTGACGCCAGTTAGTCTGGTACATAGGGTGGCAATAGTAATACAGGTACACAGGGTGACGCCAGTTATTCTGGTTCATAGGGTGACACTTGTAATAATAGTACATACGGCGACAACAGTAATACTGGTACATAAGGTGCATGTATTCGCGAAGTATGAATCATATTTAAAATGCATTTTGACTTAAATAGCAAAAAGTGATTATTTAAAAAGTCAGATTGATTAAATAATGTATTGGATTGATTTGTTTCACTTTTTTTCTGTATATTTCAATTTTAATGACTTTTCTGTTTTGTTTATCAAATGTATGTTTGCTGCTTGTATATAAAATGCAAAACAATATATAGGAAAATATGACAGGAGAATAATGAAAAACAAAATAAATAAAAATCACAAGAAGACCGATTCTGCATGCAAGCTGTTGATGTATCTTCCGGACGGTTCTATATGGTGATGGCGCCATCTATGACAAGGGTTCGAGTGAGTGGGGTGGGGGTGGCGGGGAGGGGGAGGGGACAACATAGACACATGCACGTGTCCAAGGGCTGTCCTGTGCTATTTGGTTGTTTTCCAGGAGTTTTGTCATTTACTTTTATTAAGTGATTTTGTAGTTGTATTATGGAGATAGTTTTTGTAGCTGCATGTATTAATATGTATACCTGCTGTGGAAAGGGCAAATGGTAACCAACCGAAACTCCCAAAGACTCCCGATTTCTTGCAACATATAAGGTATAGAAACTCTGTAGTTGACATTTTTACTTGTTTTTTTGTTTTTGTTTCTCCGCTTAAGAAACGTCGGGTGGTTGTTTACTATAAAGTGCAATAGGTATTAAAATCAAAGTGTATTATATTTGTATCTTCTAGATGGACCAGGTAACAGCATAACATTTCAGCCAGAACAAGCTTTGTTAGATATAGTTGAGAACCAGACTGTGCCAGATATCGTCTGTGCTGCTGACTGTGAACCGCAATGTACCTACATCTGGTCGAAAGTAGGTACAACCTACCCAAACCCACTATCTCTGTCCCCGGCCGTGAGGGGTGATGCAGGACAATACACATGTTCAGCCAGTAACGGTGTCGGTCAGGGAACAAATACGACATGGACCCTTATCGTCAGATGTAAGTATTGTAGTAACGTTGGGTGGGCGTTTACATTGTATGATAACATAAGTTTGTCTGTTTGTTTATCTATCTGAGGATAAAATACACCATTCTGCCGCACTTTCTTGGTTAAACAAACATATATAAACTGATGCATTTGTCATTTATATAATGATATAACTTCTATGTATTTCCCTTTACCGCAATAAACTATTTGCGTTTTCGCTTTTGCCTACCTGTTCTGTCATCCGCCGTAACACAACTAGACACTGTTGGGCTACGCCCAACTCTCCTGCACGAGTCTATCAAAGCAAAAAGAGTGCGCTTGTTAAACAATTAAATTATGTTGAAATGCATAAATGGTAAACAAAGTAGTATGTAACGTTATTGGCATTTGTCAAAAGAAAAAAAAAGAAACTAAGGACCAATACAGTTATAAAAAAAGTCATGCACATTAAATACTCTCCCGTTACACAGCGAAAGTCTTTTAGAAATTAGGTATGTTAAAATAGAATCGTACATGGAATTTCTTTTGATAACAAGGCATTTTACTAATCAATCAAACTAATAAGTGACGGTATAAAATTGACGAATCTGCGAATTTCTCGTGTGGCACTGATCCCGATTGACTCCTACATATCATAGCACTGACTATAGATAAAGTCAGGAACCACAGCGTGACCCTGACAGATAAATGTTTATACTGTTTTTTTAATGTTAACGACGAAACCAATCAACGGAGGACCTGATAAAAACAAAACAAAAACAAAAACAAAAACATTGTTTGCCTAAAGTCGTTATAGCTGATAAAAGTCAAAAATAAGAATACTTGCAAATATTTGCTTTCCGTCAGTGATTCTTAAGAATTACCGTCAGTGTACGAATAACGAAACAATTTAACTGCATGCGTAGTATATATATACACAGAGCAAGTAAGATCTAACTACCGGCTAAGCGATAGAAAAATAAGATTTAACGACCGACTAAAATACTAGCTGCTTTCACCCTTCAAATGGCGCTTCGTGTTTGTTTAAAAAGAAAAAGCTTACAGCAGGCAAGATGACACATGGAATCTATCGGGAAGCGGGGACGACAGATATAGGCAAAAGTGTAAACAACCATCTTTTTAGGACATACAACTGTAAACAAAGGCGGAGGAACAAAAAGAAGGAGCTACGACACCCAAGAGCAAAATTAAAACAAATATGGTAGAGCGAGTTTTCCCAAACGTAATTAACTTATCTAAACGAAAATTACCAAAAGATGAAATTGATTTGCTATCAAAAGGTCTTAAATTTTGTCCAACACCAGATAAAAACGATAACGAAGAACTTCAGGCGGACATTCTAAAATTCTGCAGGAGACTTCGTCTATGCGATAAGTTCTGTGACGAAGACGATGAAAGCAGACCGTTGGAAACAACGGCGTTAGTTCATTACAATTCGCAATTCACCAAGAAGTTCGGACAACTATTTAGAAGACGTTATTGGTAGTTCAAAATAGATTCCTTTACATAATGATAATCGCAAATTCTTTAAGAAATGATATTTGTATTATTATCAAAGATATCGATAAAGGCAATGCAGTAGTGGCCATGCATATATATTTCTATTGTAAATGCATACATAGCATACTTAGTAATGTTGAATTTAATACTTCCGCAAGAGACGATTTCGATACGAAAACCCGTAGATTAATCAACGAGCTTATACGGACACATGAAGCATGCCTACATGAAAAGGAGATAGATTATCTTGTCACTTCTATGCATAAAACTAGTTATGTCTATGGTTTGCCTAAAATCCACAAAAAGCTCTATTATAAGTAAAGCTATAGAAGAACAAAACTGTACATATATTGAAGTTGAAACTCCTACGGGTTTGAAGTTTAGACCCATCGTAGGCGGTCCTAATAGTGTAACGCAACGTTTGAGTCATCCTGTAGACCTCATTCCTAAACCTGTATATGGTTATAAGTGTAAACAGTTACATCAAAAAAACGATTTTGATTTTCTGCGCCGTTTATCTAAACAGGCCACACATAATTCTTAACTTGTTTCCTATGTTGTTCTTAGTTTATACACTAATATACCACATGCTTATGATATTGAAGCTGCTAAATATTGGTTGAACAAAAAACGAGAAAAAGTTAATTCTCGCTTTAGTAATGAATGTATACCCCAAGCTCTATATATTGATCTCAACCGTAATTCTTTTTATTTCGTCCAATAATATTACCAACAGATTAAGGGTACAGCGATGGGAACTAAAGTTGCCCCTTCATATGTAACCTTAGTTTTAGGATACTTTGAGGAAACAGTTTATTCTCAGATTGAAACAAAGTTTGGGAAAAACTTAACTGAATTTATCAGAAATAATTGTTTAAGGTTCCTTGACGATTGTTTTGTTATATGGCTTCTTTCTGATAAGGATTAAAATGAATTTCAAAACCTGTTGAATTCTTTACAACCTTCTATTTGTTATACGATGGAGTGTAGCGAAAAGTGTTTATCTTTCTTAGATGTTTTTAGTTCAACTAGATTCGATCAAGGTTACAACTTATTTATAATGTAAGGCTTCAGATGTACATATTGACTAACAGTCTGAAGAATCTCCTAGAAGAGATGAAAGTACTAAAGGCTCGTTGTTAAGGATTTTTCTTTTTATAATATTTCTTCGTCCGTAAGGATCATTTTTCTGATTTTATAGTATATATATATATGGGGCAAAGAAGTAATTCCAACAGTGTGGACAGGTTTAGGTTGTCAAATTTTCGAAGCGATCCGCTCCTTTATCAAGACACAGTGAAACAGAACAGTTACATGTACATATACATCATATTACAAGAAGATATAACTGATACACTATAATTGAAAATATAGCTAGTATAGATTATATATACATATAGCAATGTAAAATAAATTTAAAACATTTAATTTCAGTTACTCCTCGAATAGTTAGCCTCAGCTACACACAAGGAGACGCTGATGTAACTGAGAATGGATCTAAGTCACTGATATGTTATGTGGAAAGTTACCCTCCGTCTACAATCCAGTGGTATTATAAAGCTAACAACACAGTCCTACTGACCACTCCGTACGTACTGGACAGCACCTACACCCTGACTACCGCTGTCTGTCTAGACACAGGAGTATATACCTGTTCTGCTCGGAATAGTGTCTCCGACATGGAGGCTACCAGGGATATTTATATCAACGTTTTGTGTAAGTTTTCTTTTGATATGCACCAACAGAGGTTCCCTTTTATCATATTTGTTTTCAATGTTGTTTTTGTCGAAATGCGTTGTTGGCGCTGGCTTTCAATCCAGTATCTTCGAATTGTATATCTAAGTTACACCATTCTACTTGATTATAAATAATAAGCTTCATATATGAACAATGCTATATTTCAATACTTGAAGTGATAAATGAATCGTCATCGCGTAGGTCAAACGACACAGACCTAACACTAATATTCATTTCCCTATGTATGCATAACGTATCATATATTGTGAAAATAATGAACGGAATAACCATAACATTTGCAGTAACACTGATTATTTTATGACTGGTGCTAACTCCCAGCCCTGATTGGAGGAGCGACGTCATGTGACGAGTCTGTAAATATGTTATAGACCTCGTTCTGTAAATAGAAAAGTGTTACAGACCTCGACCTATATATAGAAAAGTGTTACAGACCGCTACTAAAAATAGGCATGGGGAATTTCCCAGCCATCGATTAACAGCTAATTGCAATCAGATCATCTGTTACGGACCTCGTTATATGAATAGAAAAGTGTTACAGACATCGACATATAAATAGAAAAGTGTAACAGACCTCTACTAAAAATAGGCCTAGGTAATTTCCCAGCGAGTCTGTAATTCTGTTACCAATCAGACTACTGAATTAAATTACAAATGAATTATCTCATCAAATTCTGAACTATGTGAATATTGATGATGTCGATTGTGCAAATAATATTTACTTGACATTAAATATCACATCAATTGAAATCACTCTGTGATTCCAAAATGGTTTATGCCATCCACGTGTTTATGACTTGAAAAAATATTAATCTCATTGTAAAATGTCATGTAATAAAACAATTGTGGACTTCAGTTTCGGTCTATCCCTGATTTACGGACCTGTCTGAACAATATTTTTCTCGACCTTCGGCCTCTGTAAATATTGTTCAGACCAGGTCCGTAAATCAGAGAGTTTTTAGTTCATAGTTAACGACATCGCAACACGAAAGGTCATGTGAAATCGGTTTCTAGAAAAACACCGCCGAATAGGAAAAAAACCAAGTAGGACAATAAAAGACAGCGGGCATTACAGTAAGTGGGATACAGCATCCATAACAGTCAGTGAAATGCAGCATGAATTGCAGTCAGTGAGATATAGCAGGTATTACAGTCAGTGAGATATAGCATGAACTACAGTCAGCAAGATATAGCATGAATTGCAGTCAGTGATATATAGCAGGTAGTACAGTTACTTAGATACAGCACGCAGTGCATTCAGTAAGATACGGCATTAATTACAGTCAGCAAGATACAGAGGGCAATGCAGTCACAGATATACATCATGTGTTACAGTCAGTGAGACACAGCATGTATTACAGTCACTGGGATGCAATGGGCATTACAGTCAGTGAGATACAACGGACATTACAGTCAGTGAGATACGGCATGAATTACAGTCAGCAAGATACAGAGGGCAATGCAGTCACCGATATACATCATGTGTTACAGTCAGTGAGATACAGCATGTATAACAGTCACTGAGATACAATGGACATCACAGTCAGTGAGATACAGCATGTATTAAAGTCACTGAAATACAGCAAGCATTTAAGTCAGTGAGGTACAGAGGGTATTGCAGTCAGTGATATACAGCGGGTATTACAGTAACTGAGATACAGTGGACATTGCAATCGCTAAGATACAGCGGGCATTAAACTCAGTGAGATACAGCGGGCATTATACTCAACGAGATGCAGCGGGCTTATTCTTTCGAAACATTATACAAGAAAACACAGGTTAATGTTAATAGGTTCATAGAGCGCTGCAGATTAATTTGGTATTATTATCATAACTGTTGTAGCGTAACAATGATATTAATGAGGGACATCAAAAGCATATACAATTAAACACAATATATTATCAATTGCAGACAAAACCTTACTATACTATGTTAAATAATGCATGTTCGTTTTTTCATATATGGTCGATCTCGATAAATTATTTAAGCTATCTGCCAATTTAAAAAATCTTAAAAATAAGCCGTTAAAGTATACGTATACGTTTACGCATAAGTTTATACGTCTATCCGAAGGGAGCATACATTAATTGGTTTAACCTGTCAAAAAATAAATTTATTTAATTTGGGATATTTTGGAATATATATATAGATATAGATGTCAGAAGTACTTTGAGTTGTCATCGTGGTGTATGGGCACGACATATCCTAACAATTCACTACTTGCACGTGCATTTTATACAGTAGACTCTGCATAGCGCTATCATCAGGTACATCAGTGACAGTGTATACGGCCGTGACGAATATATGATGCCAATACATATTGATTATGTATTGCCTCTGAATAACGAGAACTTTGATTACTATGCACTGTAAATCATTTATATTTCACTAGGTATTTATTACCTCCGTCGTGCAAATATATACACTGGGAATAATTAAACCACTGAAGCATACCTGTAATGTATGTCTCTCTCATCATTCGACAATTTTAATATAATACGCGAATGAGCATGAGGTGTCAGATCGTGCTATAAAGTATACGCGATATATAAGTGATTTGCAGTACATGCCGTATGAAGTTTGATGACCATGTACTGTACATGCCATACATCCTCCAGGATACCACTGACTTATCTGCTTCAGCTATCTTATCGGTAATCCGTCTTACGACAACTATTGCCACCTGAGACCAAACTTAACGGGATGACTGTAATTGTGCAGTTGTGAACTTTCATTTTTTCAGCAGTAACATACTAGCCTCACCCACATACGGAGCTTAGATATTCCAGAGCCTGTTATCAGGATATGCTCACTGTTGACAAATAAGCTATGTGCATAATTAAAATCATCATTGATACTCCAGGGGTAAAACTCACTTACGCTCTCTCACCCTTGGAATATGTCAAAGCAAATTTGAAGGCACGCAGCTAGCTATTTATTTGGTGTCGGGTTATAAAACCGGATTAATCACTTGGCTGATACTTGTCCTTTGAAGATAACCGAGGGGCGACGCCTGACTTCAAAGCCAATAAGTTTTACCGTTACGCGACTGCGAGATTCTTTTGCTGCACATCAAAGGATCAAACTAGCCTTCTCGTCTCATCCACAAAGATTGTGCACTTCGAGTCTTCGATTTTGCTATGACATATTCCAGTGGAGCAGAGAGGATAAATGAACGTAGCCCGTGCAGAAGTGTGTACTTACAAGACTGTAATCAACGCTAAAGAAATGGTACGATCGCTATTCAGATCGTGTTCTTCGCTATCGATTTATGCACATTGTATCTGTTGTAATTAATTTCATGTTCAATTTATCTTAAATGTTCACTTAAATTGTCTGATGTGTCGGGAGCCAATATGGCGGGTTCAACGCGCGGGACAAAGTCTTTACCATCTGGAACTCCTGTTCGCGTCCTTGGTCCATTATTTTTACTTAATAATTTTTCCCGTGTTTGTCTGCCTCCAGCAAACTTATTTGATATTAAATACTTAATAGTCAGTTGTTTTTCATTTTTATTTTGCAGGTTAATATTAAATTGTTGTGTGGATGTGTTATCCATGTCCTTCCATAATCTTTGTGTAAAGTGATCAGTGTATTCAACGCCACCGACACACCTACATGTATATAACTGTCTGTATACGGTTGAGCTATAGCCAGTTGTACTGAATGAAATGCGCGTGAAAGTAGTGTATTGTTTCGGTAGCTTGTGTCTCGTATTCTACTATAGACACATACATTTTTTTCTTAATGGTATTTTTATTCCAATATATTTTAAATTGTTAGCGAATAAAAAAGAAATGTTGAAGATAGTGTACAGCTCCCATCCGATAAACGTATAAACTTATGCGTTAACGTATACGTATATGTTAGAGGATTATTTTTAAGATCTCTAATAGCAAACTTAAGATTGTATGTTTGTGGCTGTACTGCTGCAGAATGTTTGGATTCCCGTCCCGAAATTAATTTGTCAATAACGTAATTAAGTAACCAATATATTAATTACCTAAACATTTTCGACATACTTGTTAAGCATTTCTGTTTTAGGTAAGCCGCGTCCATATGCAGTAACTGACTACAACCAAGCATTTGACATATCTACATCGGCCAAACTAATTATCCCTGCTGTGTTCATCTCTAACCCGGAACCATCGTTCACATGGACCTTCCAAAACTCCAAACTTTCACCGGTCACAGAGCTTTTAAACGGTACTGATAACTTTTATGTACAAAACAAGTTCCAGGCGACGAATCTGTCTGCAGTGTCAGAAGGAACAAGAACAGATATACAAGAAATCTGGTTTGGATTGTATAATGTCACGGCAACAAACAGCCAGGGAAGCTCAATGATCAGCTTTATGGTTCAAGAGAAACGTGAGCTTCTAACACTTCCTTTATTGTCATTATGTGACATCGCATGTTTTAAATGTTTTGTTTAAATGTTTAACACGAATGCTAAATGAACGATTTCTAGTCTAGACTCATACAAGTTATGTCCAAAAGAGATTAAAAAAGGTGTTGATTAATTACAATTTTCTCGAAACATCAAAACGGTCAGATATTGATCAATCTTTTAATTGTAAAATATCCCTTCAAACTATTCTGATACAAGAAACCACGTTTCAGACAATTTCGGTCTGTAGTTTTATTTTCCAACGTTTTTTTCTAAGCGGCTAATTACGGAAAAGCATTAGGGTCATGTCGAAAAGATCTAAGTGGTCTAAATGCTCTACCGTAGATAATCGGACAATGCGTATGTTTTATTTAAATGAATGTAGTAGTATAAACGATCCACTCTATAGATGTATAGATTATAAAATACTTTATACTATCACGATAACGAAACTAATGCTATGGAAATCAATTGCTTTTTATATTAATATCATCAGCTTTTTGAGGTACTATTTGTATACCAAACTGACATCAACCAGATTTTCGTTGTTTCGTTGCAACCTTCACATAATTACGGTAGTGTAAACTTGCTTCCTGTATCAGAACCATGCATATCATACATTTGAAGTATCGCGGTCAGAAATTTTTGCACTGAATTTCTGATGGCACTATTGAAATGGGTTGCCATATTATATCTCCAGCACAAACAATTAGTCATAAATAGACGGGTATAGAGACTGTATGTTGGCCGTTGTCGTCACCCGGTACTTAACACATATATGTATGAAATTATCAAAAAATGTTATCGTCACATCAGAATATTGGTCGTATCCTGAATCAAATTTGGTTCTAAAGACATATTTTCTGACCATTTCGTCAACTTTGTGTTCTATTGGAAACGGATAATCAGGACTGCAGACCTGCGTTCTCTAAATGTTGTTGATCAATAACCAAACGTGTTTTTATACCATGGACTACCCCTCTCGAAACAAACAATCATAGGGGCATCTACTCGTTTCAAATCGACGTTTCAATGTAAGAATGATGATACCGTTGTTCGTTGTCAGGTGTTACGCACACCAGTCCGAAATGTTTTTAGAATAAATGGATACATTATTCATCCCATCGTGTTTTAACCGTTTCAGTTATGATCAGCAACATATCTTGCCTAAATACGCAAGACGCGCGTCGTAATCCCAACGACGCGTCGTCACGAAAGTCGAAACACTCCTGTGCCGATACAAAATTCGCGTATTCGTTCACGTTTACAGTCTCTATACTCGTTGATATACTGTGGTAATAAACACACAAATAGTCCTGCGAAAAGTTTCTGTATCCACATCCACATAAGCATGTGCAACCGCTCCAAAACGTCGATAAATGAGGTATTCCAGGTGCCTGAATTATTTGAATATAAATCGAAACAAATGTGCATTTCACTATTCATTTCTGACGGATGCGATTTTATGTGACCAAAAACCGGTGTTATCAGTCTGAATTAATTAATGTTTATTCTGCTTTGGCTGTGTATGGACTTTCTAAACATATATACGTTTATTTTTTAACTCGATTTTGTAATTAATTTCCTTTAAAAGCAGTAAGTACGTACTTAAAACAAATCGCAGTTTTTAAACCATATCTAAGTATCATAATCAATCTAACACTAGCAATAATTGGGAAACTCATTTATTATCACGTATTAACTATATTATGTAAACATTTTTCTTTTATGTTTCTTTAAGTAACAGATTAATACGAAGAAACAAAACGTAAATTCATGAATAGAAATATTCAAATTCCTCCTCCCCTATATGTCCAATATGGAACAGTCATGTTGGATATGTAAAACCCACAAGCGACACTCAGTGACATAGTATTATAACGTCACAATCAGATAGCGGTGTAACATTATGACGCGTAAAAAAGATCGTCAAAATGTCTTTTGATTGAATGTCACTAGGTGACATCACATTAGAAACAGAAGAATTCAAATTTGTCTTAAAACTTTTAATTTAACGGATACTTTTAATATGCTTTTCCTCTGTTTCCAAACATGGTTTTATTTGATGTCTACGTTATCAAGAATTTATGATCTATTTAGTGTTGCGTTTGTTTTGTCTTTTTCCTAATCTACCAAAAAATCCCATTAAGAGGTGTTTGAAACAGTGTCGGTCATTATGTAGGTTTGTAGTACATAGACGCTACACACTCAGGTGTAATGACCATAGCTATTTAATAGGACGTTAAACTCAAGCAAACCAAACGAAACACTCAAATGTAGAATGCTGTGTCAGAACATCAGCAAAACCTTGGTTCTGACCCGAAATCTGCAGCTTCGCATGGAATATCCATATCTCAAATACTGACATGACTGACACTATTGAGAAACAATAAAAGCATCAATTGCATCCCTTTGTCATCGTATCTCTCCTTGTTATTTTCACGCTCATGTACAAATATGATTATTCGTGATTCATGGTGATAATTGAAACATACCGTTCATGTTGATTTCCAGAGAGTCCTAGTTTCCCAAAAAGAATAACCGTTGGCTGTGCAAAGCCTTATGCTGCCAAAGTATCGTGGAAAGATGGCGGTCACACACAATATTACCACGTCCTCTTTAGCACTGATGAATTTCTTCAATCAAATGAACTATATCCTGTGGCTGTTACTGAAAAGGAAGACGGACGTGTTATGTATAGTCTAGATATAACCAATCTTGAGGGAGGACAACTGTATTACTTTAGGGTTGCAGCATTCAATGGATACGGAAATACAACATCGCTTGATGCTGTTGGATGTACTGTTCAAGAGGGTAAGTTGTTTACACTCCATATTCACATATATAAAAGTTATTTTAATTCTGCTGAAATTGTTTATTAAGTCAGAAATTCCATTTCGTGTTATTGCATTTAGTTTTGTAGAATTGTGTTAATTTGGTTGATGACCATACGCTACGTCATCAATATGGCTTTTAAAAATGATTTGCGTTGTACACGTGAAGAAAACTACCGTATCATTTATATTTATTTGCCGATTTATTTCTAACGTAGCACTTCCCTGCGGTAGTGACATCATGTATATAACAGGACTTGTGTTGATTGGTGCTGCCGTAGTAACACTGCTATATACAGTTGGACTCGGAATATTAATCAGACGTAAGTAGTCCCCTCCCCCCCCCCCCCCCCTCACACACATGCGCACACATACACACACAGTGATGTATTACGACGAAACTAGTTACACGAATCTAAGATTATCTTTTTTCTTCAAACAACTGTTCGTAATGGTTCATCGCAAAACCAGCATGCATTGTTTTAAACTTAACACAATATTATATTAATGGATACATTGCACTATTACTAGATGCTTGAAGTTGGCGGCAAAACTTGGAAATATTACCGATGATCAACTATTTTTCCTATATTTCTTTTATTTTATCGTTGTATATTTCTTTTATATTTATATTTAGGAAACGGTGGACTGCCTTTTCTGTAAGTAAATACAGATGATTTACAAATATATGGACAATCATGCATATGTAGTCTCTTTGGTTCACTAAGTTAGTAAGCCTTTGATGATTCAAACTACTCAAAATAGCTCTGTTTTGAAATACATTTAAAAATAACACGCAAAATATTTTGATGTGTAAACTTATATAAAATCAGCAGATTGTATAAAATACAGTTTTCTACCTAATACAGTTCGCAAAAAAAAAATTTGAGACCGACATCTTCTTGATAAGGGAATGACAAGTTTTCTCCTTCCAAACAAAATCATGGATTGTACTCTAAAATTTCCAGGAAATGCCAGCATCCGAATCAGGGAGAAATCCAGAGCGTTCAACTTTCAGAACGTCGTAACGTCAATGAAGCACGTGAGAAACTTTTATAATCTCAAAGTTCTACGCGTTATTCTTGTTATTGTGGAAAATTTACTTTGGATTGAAATACATTTTCCCTAATTTTGTTGATTTAGGTGAACTATTCCATGGTTGGTTTCAACTGCAATAGCAAACCCAAGCCAGGGATGATTTGTTTATTATTTTCCATCTTGTTGAATTACTCATAATGATAATGACCAGTTCTTCGGGAGTGGTTTTATACATTTATAGCTATTCATCTTTTCTTTTCTTCTAGCAGAACTCTCTTCGTAATTATCCTGATTGGTATTCGCTTTTTCATCCAATGTCTGGTATATAAATAATTCACACGCGGCATTATTGGTGTTACAGAAGATAACATTATTTGGAGATTAGCTTATTTTTAAGAGCACCTGGATATGTTTTCTTCTTTTTATAGTGATAAATAGCAAACGTTTTACATCGTAATATGTTTTGATAATATTGATATACGATATAGCTGTAGCTTTAGCTATTCAAATCGACTCACGATTTGTATCGACAGATCACCTAGGGGAGAAACAAACTTCGTATCAATGGTTTTATTTAAAGAAACATAAAATAAAATGCGATCGAATAACGAAAAAGAAAGAAAGAAAACCAATGGAGGAAAAACACCCTGCCATCTAAGAAAACATCTTCAATAGCAGGGTTGTGTTTCAAATTTGCAAATCCATGCCGTTTCTTCTCTTGCTTGACACATACGGTTTAACACCTTTGGCGATTCTTCTTAAAATCCTTATCTTTAGTTATATTAACAACCTCGTCTTTCAAGTCCAGTTGTCTGCAATATCAAGGTAAGCTGATTGTAAGGTAGTACTTTATCTATCTTTTTTTAAAACACCCAGCCAGGCAACATTTTTAAGTTTGTTTGTCCAATGTTGTTTTGCTTTCATTATCAGTTTTCCCTTTGAAATATAGGTTTCTCTTTGTTAGTTAGAAACAATGTAGAATGATAGGTGAGTTTTAAATTTGTATTTCCCATCTAATTTACAGATACGACAACCGGCAGAGATGAAGAAGGGTAAGATTTCTTGCTCATACATAACATACTTGTTTTCAACGTTTTGTCTCATACTTAGTGAATTCCTGTATTTATCAAACATAAATCAATGCGTCATCGAAAACTATAACATGCATCATTTTATATTTTATAAAAATTGTATTCAATTTAGATTGCAATATGAACAAATCGATACAAATACAATCGCCAAGCCGTCTGTATACTCTGAAATCGGAAGCCATCATCAAGGTAAGACAAATGAAACTAAAGTTTGCTAATGAAAAAACTCAATATCAGGGGTCAAAACCAAAATTAAGTAGAATTATCGTGCTGATTTGTTGGTTTGAACTATATATATAGGGAATATCTTTTATAGATAACATGCAAGTATTTCAATTAACATATACTATCTGTTTTTTACGTCTTTTATATTGTGGTCATTGAAGTCGCCAATTCAATTACTGCTGGTAATGTGATTTGCCTGCGTCAAATATATTAGCCGCTTGATGTTATAGTTATAAGTCCTTAACCTTGTTCTAAAATGTCTAATCAACAAATAGGCAATATTGCAGTTAATTTTAGAATCCATATTATAATTATTGATATTTACGGGGTGATTGTGTAGTGAGCAAGTATGTAAACTAAACGTTGCAAAAGGTTATTCAATTGTACATGTTGATTTTAGTTTACCAGAATGATCCGGTCAACGACGGGTGAGTACAAATTATGAGACATTTAGTCCATGGTCCCTCTGTCATTCCGTCCGTCCTTTAAACAATTATTGTTAGTTTTCTTTCTCAGAAAGTATTGCAGCGATATTGTTTTTCAAATTTGGCACGAAAGTTTAAACTGGACACTAGTTACACAATACGTTATTTTGGACTGATCGAAAAGCAAAGATGGCTGACAAGCAGCCATCTTAAATTTGGAGTGTTTTCGTTCATTAGCGCCTTTTCTGTGAAGTTATTTGTTGGATCTTTCTCAAATGCACGGTCATAGTTTCATAGTATTTGGAATGATCGGAAAACTAAGATAGCCGACAGGTGACCTTCTTGAATTTCCAGCATTCATTTTGTTCTCAGAAAATAAAGGAGGGATATTTGTCGAATTGCATGTGTATGTTTCAAAAGTCCACACTTATGCTTAGTGATTTTGGGACGGGTTTGTCAAACAACAATCTCACAAGACAGTCACCTTGATTAGTTGAATTTCTAATCATATCTTCCACAGAAGTATTTGTCAAATATTTATCTTATTTTACTTGTTGATTCTCAATGGTCCAACGATATGCATATTTGTCTTTAAGGCTAATAAACAATGGATTTCAATGGATACACTTTTGACATGAGTAAATAGGTCAAACTATATTCTTCATTTAGAAAAAAAGCCATGTCATAATTAACATTATGAGACATTGATCAAAAGCTGCCACAAGGTGCATTTACATGACTCAATTACAGGTAAAAAGAAGAGAAAAGATAGATCTATAGATCTTGCATATAACCTATGACGATGGTCATTACAGTTTTATATTTATATGATTTCGTATAAATAGAAAAAAGAGTACATATCTTTATATTAGTAGAAGGTAAACACATTATAACAAAACTTTACCATGATAGTTTTTGTAACAATCTTCTTTGTCATAGTTTTAAAATGTAATTGACATTACTGTCTCTCTATACAATGCTCACATAATGAACTAACTTATAGACAGATCATTATGCTCGCAAAATAAATCAAAATCCACCAAAACTGCATTCAACTGGCATCTTGGATCACGTAAGAAGAATTAGACAAGATAAACGGGACTTATCATTTAATATTAATATTTAATATGAAATATGCACTGCCTATAAGCGAGCGAACATAGTTTGATAACCTTTGTTATGATATTGTAGATCTCAGGCGCCTGCGGCGTTCAATTTAAGGGCTTTAAAGTAACAAAACGAACAGAACCCCTCCTTAGGACATAGGTGCGCCGATTATTCTGACATGAAAATTAAATGAATGGTTATTATAAAAAATGGTATCTTAATTAAGAAAACCTGCAAGATATTTCATACAGGCCTTTTTGTTGCTATTAATTTACTATTATTTCAACACCTTTGTTAGTATATCGCCTGATCCCTTTAGCACCAAAATGTCTTAAGACAAAATGACAGAAATAGGATTTACTGTGCAAAGAGGGCAAAGGTCAAGTCATTGGTCGCAGTAACCTTATTATGTACATTCCGCCATCCCGATATGTCCTTGTACTCTAAATATGGTTACTCCATATAAAACACTATATAAGATATGCCCCGGACAAACATTTTCAAAAGTAAAGGTCAAAGGTCAAGTCATACGTCACAGTAACCTAAATCTCGCACTTTGCACTCCGCCATCCAAAGATGTCTTTGTGCACTAAATATGGGTACTCAAAAAATGAAATAGTATAGAATACATGTCCTTGACAATTTTCTCTGACGGACGCACACACAGAGTAAGAACCTATAGTCCCATTATTATTAACCATTTTCATCCAGTAAACTTGCTCAACTATTCTAATAGTGAAAGACCTAATGATTGTATCAGAAGGAACAAAACCAAAAGAGGATCGACACTCTAAAGTGTTATTTGTTTACCTAGGGGACATATACACGTAACATATTTTAGAATTATATGCTTTGTTTCTTTGAGCCCACGGCTTTTCCCCTATACAAATTTCGGAAGATCGGCAAGTAAGAATATATATAATTTGTTTACGAAGAATAAAGTGCAATTAACACCTTCATTGGATAGACACAATTAACCATTTCATCCCTAGGTCACTTTAGTAGACTCTACCATACATTTATCTGGATGAGTCAATTATAGTCCACAGTAAATATTAGAAATAATACTGATAAAAGACACTGTACAGGTAAATGGGAGTGAATGGAATGTTTGTCATCTTTTGTAAGTTTCGTTGTTTTTAATTAAATAAAAAGGAAACTAAACTGATGTGAAACATTTTTTTAATTCTCACAAAGATGTTTAAAACGACCTTTTTTAGCTTCCGATCTATTTACAACCAATCAGAGCGTTGCAAATTTTAAAGTCCGTTCTGCACGATGTAAAGACAAAAAGTATTGTAGTTTCGTTTTGTGTAACTATATATATCTTTTTGCTTGAGCTATATATATATCACACGTACGATACAAAATTCGCTCGTTGCGCTCGCTATTAAGACACATCTATACAAGGTCTACCAAACTTAAAACACAATCGATATCAAACTTGCAATTTCATGTCAATATTGGAGATTAATTTGACATAAAACCAAGTCAATAGCTTCTTAAAATTATTACTTTACAAACAAATAATAATTGCATACCTGTCTTTTGTTTCAAGCTGGTAAAGGCTCACAAAATATTCTCATATTAATAATCATATACAAACCAGGAATAACTGCGTCAAAGTAACGACGTTAGTGCAATATAACGTACATGTTACCAGTAGGTTCCCAGGTTTTTTTCCAATGAATTCGGTCCACTAGGTTGACCATGCCGATTGAAGCGGTCGTGGGGAAATGTTAATGTGAATTAGGCTCGAGATCCCCGACAAAACGTTGCGATGTTACACCAGTTTTACATTCACAATTGATGAATAAAAGAAAAAAGTTCATAATTATAAATGACGTTTTTGCTTTTACTGAAATTATAGGGCGCTCATGTGGGGTGTCAGTTAATTTCCCCTCTTTCATAATTGCATGAGCATAGGAAAATTCGGATTCAATCCCTACATCAATAAAGTATTGCCAGTAAGAGAAGAATATGTGTAGAAGGTTTGTTACTCATCATGCAGGCATATGCTAACAGGATATTGTCGTTTATTATTTATTCCTTCGATTTTGTATATCTTTGTCATTAATTTTAGTGTGTTTGTTAGCGTTTTATTAGGAAGGTATTTATTTTGTACGTATATATATATGTTGTGACACCCCTTCCCCTCTCAAGCATACGGGAAAATCTATCTGTCTAGGCCCTTCCCCAAGTTTATATATTGTCTAAACCATTGGTGTGTATGCTTTATACGTCAGTTCTCCATTTATTTTCGTTAAGTGATTTGTCAATGCCAATCTGTAACTCTGTAATTCAAATAGCAGTAACGCAACCATATGTGTGAGACGATTACTTAAATAAGCCATACACGTCTCGTCTTGTAAATATGGCTATTGACCAAGCCTAAACAATGCATGTGTCATTTTTTGAGGCTAGTGCAGTGAGCCATTGGCTCGATTTGACGGGCCGTCACTGAAGTTCATCAAAGTCGTACTGGATCAGAGGTTCGGAAAATGTGTTTCATGCCAAGACTTGTTAGTGAGTCTGGTGCCTTCATTAAATGAAAAATGTGATTTGTTTAATACAATATAAACATTTATTGTGTAACTGTTGTTTACAAAACAGCTGATACATATATCTAGGTATTGATCTGATCCTTAGGTTCTGTAACCCAATGTATCACCAAAAATGTGAAGTTAACATTCGTAGTCTCCACAAACATTTTATACGCAATTCATTAACACTTATTGACTAATTTACCAATACAATAGCAACTCATCTGCTTGGGTCCTAGATGCTGAAAGGTGTCTTCTTAACCAATCCCAACCCCCTTTTCATGGCGTAGGAACCTTGTTTTTTGTTTTGCTCTTAGGATCGCCGAGAGCCTTACGTTGTCATGAGCGTATCAACAGCCAATTGGCTCTAATTTATAAAGGTCAGTAGCTTGTATAACAGACTGGAGAAGCAGCCAGGGGACAATGTGTTTTTCGAATGATTTTGTTTGGAAGTCAATGGTAACGCAATGGCAAAAACAAACAAAAAATAAAATGCATCGTTGAAGATAATTAACTTCATTTTTCTCTAATAATATTACATAATTTCTTCTTAAGCGGTTTTCGAAATATGGTAACTTTATCTCGGAATTCTTTTTTCACTGTACAGTTTTCGCCGAGAGCCATGCATATGTCCTTTGTCTTCTTGTATACAGAGACGGTGACTAGTCTGTAATTAATGGCTCCTATACAATTTCATCTGTGCACGGGCGACTTAGTGAACACCAATAGACTAAACACGGATCGTAAAATACGATGATAAAGGTAGACTTAGAGACTTAGGAATGATGAAGGGTACAACTTCGTTACAATATTAAGTGATGTTTTAGGAAGTGAATGTTTGTTGGATTCTCCATCGACTCACCGATTCATTTATTTCGTATTCCTACTGATTATCTTAAGAGTATTTGGGGCAGACGGTGTACAGTAACCACCTCCAGCCCACAGTTTAATTCTATGTTAAGACATTAAACAGTGACATAATTGCCCTTTATATTTTCAGGGAACAACACAAGCGTTGCTGGGAGTGCTGCTGACTCCGGAGAGTTAAAACAGCCTTCATTTGATAATGGCGCATTCAAGAAGCAATACTTATTGAAGAAGTGAAAGGAAAATAGGACACCACTGAGTTCAACAAATAACGATAAGAGATGTGCAAATAACACAAAACTCCCGATGGTTATGTTTGAAACAACCTCAGTGTTTATGTTCACATTCTGGTGGAGCGGGTGTCACAGCAATGAAAGTGTGTCGTTTTATTATTGAATGGTTCAAGGATGGAACATGCTGTGTATTAATAATATACGTTCTATCATAGGCTGGAACTGATGTGATTCGATGACGATTTTAAATGCTATTACCATTCGGGTTGAAAATAAACTGTCATTGAATAATGACAACAGTCATCGGTATTGCTACTCCCTAGCCATGTAATACATTATATATCCATTTGCAGAAGGTGGACTTCTTTTACTTACCTGAATAAAACCATTTATGTTTATATAATAATTATTGATATTACACATTCCGGTTACTTTATAAATAACTATGACATTTTGCTTTCCTTATCTATGTTATATTTTATATATTCATTTCTGGGGGTGCTGGTGTGATAGAACAGTAAATTTATCATGTATTTGCTAGCCCGATTATTTTATTTTAAATCTGTTGTGATAGGTATCATGTTTTAACGTGATATTATATGAACATTATTCAATAAACATACAAGTAGCACTACACATTATTAATATCATATCCTTTCCAAGATTATGTGATTGATGTGTGTCTTACTCCAGGTGGCTGTCTTTCCTTGTACGTGACGTGTATATGTTTAGTCCAAGTAAGCATAGTAGGGAATTATATATCTTATATATTGTCTTGTAAAAACTTTGTACATTGTATCCAGTACTCGCCTCGGTATCATTTAACATTTGCTTGGTAACATATTTTTTTTCTATAATAGGGTTCATCCTATGCTATCATTAACTGATTTGTATTGTTCTGAGCTCAGAAATAGATGAGACATGAATATAATGCATGACACTTAAATTCGATATTGTATGCAATTATTTAGTATCTTATCATATACAATTATATAACAAACAACTCGTGGTCGACCCATCGTCGTTCTGCCTATATTCATGATGAGATTAATTGCCTCCTGATTTGGTTGATCACATATTTCAATGTGTTGGTCTTGTGTTCATCAGGATAGAAGATGGTAGACTCTGCTGGTAAATTCCTAAGTCACCGATGTTTGCAGTTTCCTTCACTGCCTAAATATATATTTTGGGTAGTGGCAGGGCTTGTTATATACAAAATGTACTTACTTTACAATCATCAATTTAAATTAATCAGTACTCCTCTAATTTTAAAATGCATACAAGTAAGTTTTATGCAATCCGTTTTCATGGAATGTTCATGTTATATATTGACTTGACAGTGTTAAAAGCCTTGCCATTCATAATCTTAATTCAATGACTATGAACACTATTCTTGGTCAGCTTTGTATGTTTCAACAATGTGACCTTCATTCGCCATTTCAAACAGTTAAATCAAGTCGTTCCTTAGAAATAAGAGCCTAACAGTGGAATAATGATATGTCACACTTAATAAACGGCAGCAAATCACTAAGAAATAACATATTACACCGAATTTCCCTCGATTGGTACATATTTGCATTTCCTTTTATGTTACTATTTACAAAACTTTTCCAGAATCACACGCGAAAGACACTTCCTTCAAGAAATCTTAGTCTTATTTTCCCTTTTCAGGATTTATCCATCTAAGTCTATCATTTTTTTCATATGTTGCCTAGTTTTATTGATGTTAAGCTCGAATTACGGTTTGTTGACACTTAACGTCCTAACAACAGTTAAGGTCATTTAAGGGCATGCCTCCGTGTGCGTTATGTGTTCGTGCATGTATTGTATAATAAAACGATACGTCTGAGTATACATCCAAATTATATGTGAATGTTTAATTGTTCGTTAAAGTTAATACTGTAAAGTATTACTGACCTGCAGATGTTTATAATATTATCAATTACGTATTTAATTTCATTCTAGTCCCCGAACGTCACTTTCACGCCTATGCTGACCCTATTTATTACACGACCATGTTATATGAGCGTGTGGGCTGTACCCATGGGCATATACTTATACCGTATTAAGTTAAATACAGTAAAAGTATATAGATTATTCTGAAATGTATATATATATATATATATATTTACAACTGTTTGTACTGTATATTTTACGCAGAAAATGCTATTATACATAGGCGTACCTTACTCTGGGGCTACTAAGCACCCATGAGCTACGTTTATACTGGTGTTGATACCTACATGCCTAGGGTTAACGTGTAGACTGGTGTTGAGAAGAACTTTGGGCGCTAAACTGAGGCTCCCACGTTCATATGGGTTCCTGTGCAGCGTTTCCATAGGTTCACTACCTGACTCCTTCCGGTTCTTGTATACAGGCATGTCTGAATTTGGCACACGACGATATTGTGTTCCTTATCCTACTTGTTTGCCAGTTCATCTTGGCACATATACTAATGTTCCTGATGAACACCCGGTCTCTAAGTTTAATTTCCGTACGCTCCTATCTACACTATCCTTGTAAAGCTTACCATTTTATCGCTTTCAGCCGAGTTAGATTGGTAAGCAAAGTCTTACCGACGCTTAGGTTTCTAGGCATCGTTTTGTCGGCTACTTACAGCATTTGAGGTAGTGTCCACACCAAGATAGGCGTCTTCAATAAGAAATTGGTGCCAACAAAACATTAAGTAAAAGTGAGAATATCGGATTGACTTGTGTCTTGTTGCATTATATGCATGACAATGAGGAGTCAATTGTGACTTTTAATTAGCCACTGTACCAAACAAATGTATCCGTGTTTGGTGGAACCGTTCGACCATAGCATTGCCCATTGGATGGTAAGGAGTAGTTCTACTCCACTCCAGCTATTTTGCAGAATTCTTTGATAACGCTACTCTTGATATCCCCACCATTGCCACTGTGTAGACTTGTAGTTTCAGCAGCCGCCACTTCCGCTTATATTGACGCACTTCCTTAGGAACGTGCCTCAATAACACTTTATCAGGTTGAACCCTTCCCTAGAATAAAATGTTCAGATGGTTATCTAAGGACTGCTCTTTTCCCACATCCTCACCTGAGAGCTGTGCATTCCCCAGTGATGGTTCAGTACTCTCATGCTCTAGTGATACTGTTTTTGAGATAATCATAGTCTCTGCCAGCCACAACTCCACACTCGTAAACAGAGAAGTACATGAGACTGCTCTCAGAACATCAGGGACAACTTCTTCTTGCTGATTAAGTATTCTCGACAAAACAATCAGCATCACTATTGAAACTGAGTGTTCTGTAATCTATTTTAAAGTTACAGTTAAAAAAGCGAGGCTAACCACCTTTCTGCACCCAGCTTTGCACTTGTCGTCACATAGGTTAAGAGGTTCTAAATATGTACGCCCTTCATAAGTATTTATATAAAGATAGTCGTAAAACAGTGTACATAGGGTGACACCAGTAATTCTGGTACATAGGGTTACAGCAGTAATACTGGTACATAGGGTGACACTAGTAATACTGGTACATAGGGTGACACCAGTAATTCTGGTACATAGGGTGACAACAGTAATACTGGTACATAGGGTGACACTAGTAATTCTGGTACATAGGGTGACACTAGTAATTCTGGTACATAAAGTGACAACAGTCATACTGGTACATAGGGTGACAACAGTAATACTGGTACATAGGGTGACACTAGTAATACTGGTACATAGGGTGACACCAGTAATTCTGGTACATAGGGTGACAACAGTAATACTGGTACACAGGGTGACATCAGTAATACTGGTACATAGGGTGACAACAGTAATACTGGTACATAGGGTGACACTAGTAATTCTGGTACATAGGGTGACATCAGTAATACTGGTACATAGGGTGACAATAGTAATACTGGTAAATAGGGTGACAACAGCAATACTAGTACAAAGGGTGACAACAGTAACACTAGTACATAGAATGACAGCAGTAATACTGGTGCATATAGTGACAACATTAAAACTTGTACGTAGGGTACCACCAGTAATGCTAATACATAGAGAGAAAAAACTAATACTGGTGCATAGGGTGACACCTGGAATACTGGTACATGGGGTGACAACAGTAATAATGGTATATATCGTGACAACAGTTATCATGATCCTAGGGAAATATAAGTATATAGGGTGACACAAGTAATGCTAGCCCATACGGTAACACCAGTAATCCTTGTAAATAGGGTGACATCAGTAATACTAGTACATATGGTGACAGCAGTAATATTGGTACATATGATGACAACAGTAATCATGATCCTAGGGTGACAACAGCAATATACGTACATAGGGTGACAACAGTAATACTAGAACATAGAATGACAACAATAATTATGATACATAGGGTGAAACCAGTTATTCTGGTTCATAGAGTGACAACAGTAATACTGGTACATATAGTGACAACAATAATACTGGTACATAGGGTGACAACAGTAATACTGGAATGTAGGGTGACACCAGTAAATCTTGTACATTGGGTGAAACCAGTAATAGTAGTGCATAGGCTGTAAACAGTAATACTAGTACATAGGGTAAGAACAGTAATACTAGTACTTAGGGAGACAACAGTAATACTAGTACATACGGTGACAACATTAATACTAGTATATAAGATGACAACAGTAATGCTAGTTCATAGGGTAACAACAGTTTTACAAATAAATAGTGTGACAACAGTAATACTAGTACATAGGGTGACAACAGTAACACTAATACATAGGTTGACACCATTATTACTAGTACATATGGTGACAACAGTTATATTTGTACATAGGGTGACAACAGTGTACAACATTCATACCAAATCATAGGGTAACAACTGTTAAAGTGGTACATAGGGTGACAACATTTATACCAGTTCATAGGGTGACAACTGTTAAAGTGGTACATAGGGTGACAACATTAATACTAGTACATACGGTGTCAGCAATAATAGTGGTTGATAGTAATATTTGTACATGGGTTGACAACACTGATACTAGAACGTTTAGTGAAAACGTTAATGCTTGTACATAGATTGACAGCAGGAATACCGCTAAATATAATGAGAGCGTTAATTCTAGTAATCTTGAATTAAGACAAACAAATCAGTAGTTCTTAGCAAAACTAGCACGTTAGTGACACTTGTTTATCAGACATTAATAGTCAAAAAGTAAAACTACATCATGGTATTAACATAAGCTCACCAATATGTTAATTCCCGTCTTCTTTTTCATTTAAAATTAAAATTACATGAGTTTTTGACATATCAGTGGTATTGCATTGTAACCATGATTTTTTTACTTCGAATATAATTCTGTATCACAATATAAATTTTAGTATTGTCCAATAAAAACGGTACCTTTTCTTTAATGCGGATATTTTCAGTTAAAAGTTCCGGTGAAGCAACAGCAGAGAAAAAGATTGTGTTTGTGCACACTTGCAACACATATTTTAGTATTTAACAACGTTAAGATTAAAATATTTTTGTTTGGAAATCCTAACAGAAAATAGAAGCAAATGACGCTCAACGTTGTTGTCAAGCGTGACGTCATCAGGACCTGGCGTCAAAGACGGTTAAATGTGACCTATTTGTTTTTGTCAACGCGTTGACGTTTTCTTTGACCCTGTATAATATTTGGTCAGTGTAATGATTTATTTAAGTATTAACATTTTTATTTTGTTTAATTTATGAGATAATACATCCAATGGAGCACGAGGTAAATTGAGTAAACGCGAATGCGTTTACGAACAATTTACCGACTGTATATTTATTTATTAACTCATAAACTAAATAAAATAAAAGGTTAATCCTTTTATTTACAAAATTGTCTTTTAACAATAACACTATTAAAAGAGTCGGATACTAGCATTTACCTTGACAGACAGCTAAACCCCGCCCACTTTCTCCGCGACAACAAAAGAAAAAAGTTCCTCCATTTCAATATTTGTATTCACATAAAATATCCATATTTTACTTCATACAATATCTTCATAATTGTATTAGTAGGTAATGGAATACATAATTTTATATTTGTATGAAATTGAGGAATTGGGGCAAAATACTATGTAGAAAACCGCGTACGTCTATCGGTTGAAAGTGATGCGCACAAAGGCGGGAAATAGAGTGCTACTATGTCATCGATCGATAGTGACTAGCCTAGGCCTGGTGGAAATTGAATGTGCAGTTATTGAAATTGCTTTTTGTAAGCATACCAAAGGTTTGCACAGATGACATGTATGATGTGGATAAATCGTTTGTCGGCCGAGTGACATTTGGGAGACGAGAAATTTGACTTACATTTCCAGGAACAATAGCCATCGTTTCTCTGTCATGGCGGCCGACACCCATAAATGAGAGAGTGGAGCTGATGGAGCGTTTTCGTACTGACGAACAATCGCGACTGTAGCTTCCGACACTAGCTGACAAAAGCATATCAATTAAAAAATAATTATAAACACAACGACAAAAAATAAAACTAGATTTGATCAAGATCAAAACACGGGATTGCTGAACAGAAAATGATCAAAGATATGTTCTCGGACTGACGATCGCTTTAAAACGTTTCCTTTCGCTTCCCTTTGTGCTTCACTTCTCTGACAATCCTATTTTGTAGGTTTCACTTGTGCGTTGACATGCATTATGATGCATTGACCTTGAAACTTTATAAATCTCTTCATTAGGATACATTCTTTTAAATGTGGTGTAAAAAACCAGTTTTGAAGTATTTTGAAATGTGTTTTTTTTCTATCATTTGACCGATGTGACCTTGAATACTCTGTATGTAGCCAAACATACATGCTACATATAAATGATTAATATAAACTTTTTATGCTTCATAGTA